TCCCTCCTTGCCTGTACGGGGCTGAGCGTTTCCCGAGAGCTGAGGGCAGGTAGACCGAAAGTGACCAGACAGACCACAATATAGGCAACATCGCTCTCTCATGCGGCGCTCTCTTTCAGTAGGAGAGAGACGAGTTCTACCCAACTGCATGGGTTCTGAAACGTCTTGAGCAATTTGTAAAATTTGAGGGGATGGAGTGAAAAATGGTGTGGGGGCTGAGGAACAGTTCGACTTCCTTTCTCTCAGACGATTATCGAGGCGAATAACTTGGTCCATCAAAGTCTCAAGGTCCAGAGCAGGTTCTCTGGTAGCTAGGTCGTCTTTAATTACCTCAGACAGCCCATTTTGGAAGCAGACCATGAGTGCCTCATTATTCCAGCCGCTCCCTGCTGCAACGGTCCGGAAATGGATGGCATATTCGGCCACACTACCACTACCTTGTTGAAGGGTGAGGAGTTTCTTAGAGGCTTGCCGGCCACTGAGGGGGTGATCAAAAACCCGCTTCAACTCCTCTTCGAAATCTGTGAAACTGGAACAGAAAGGGGCCTTAGCTTTCCAGACTGCAGTGGCCCATGAAAGAGCCTTACCAGACAGCAGGGTGATTACATAAGCAATCTTGGCCCGATCTGAGGGGAAGGTAGATGGCTGTAATTCAAAAGTTAAAGCACATTGGGTTAGGAATCCATCACATACACTAGGATCACCTGAGAAGCATTGGGGTGGTGGCAGGCGAGGTTCTGTGAGTGGAGGGGTCACTCGAGTCTCTGCATTGGATACTAAGGCTACAGGGGAGGCAGGAGTAGGGCTGGAAGGTAACCTGTCGAAAAGCTGACGAATAGAGGTCATTATGTCAGAAAGTACCTGCGAATGCTTGGCCATGAGTGTTTCTTGCTGCACTAGGGCTTGCTCATGTCGCTGGACTGTAGAAGCCTGCTGGGCTACTGTGGCAAGAAGATCCCGAGGGTTCTGTGTCTCTGGATTCATGTTTGTTCTTGGCTCAGTTATTCTGTCAGGCACGGGGTTCGAACCCAGGTCTCCAGTGTCAGAGACTGAAGGCTTATCCACTAAGCCACAGGAGGACAATGATCCCAACAACAAGACAGTACTTGCTCTGTGAGAGGTTTATTTACAAAACATAAAAAATCCAGACTTGGAACAAAAAATGCAGAGATAACAAAAAGACTGGTTAACGGAGGAACAAAAAGGCCAACAGGCAAAATATCTCTGGAAAAAACTAGAGCAAGCAAAACATATCCAAAAAACTAGAAATAGGCAATGTAGCACAAGACTCTGAGTAAACTAGACTTTAGAGAAGCAAGAAGACTTACGATCATCAAGGGTTAGCATCAACAATAACTGAGCAAAGAAACGGGAACTAGTCAACTTAAATACACAAGACCTAACAGGACACAAGTGAAACCAATCACGTAATTACTGAACTTAAACAACACATGGGGAGAAATGGGGACATCTAGTGGAGAAACAAAATCATAACATGTAAAAAATAAAGTCATGAAATGACAGATCCTGATAAACCCTATGCTTAGCGAGTGTTTCTAGCATGTGATAGCGTTAAGCAACTGCCTCAGAGCCCCAGTGCAGTCACGCTGGCTCTCTCAAGCCAATATCAAGTCTGTCAAGACCTTGGGTTCCAGCTATTATCATCACACATATTATTTAATCTATGCCATAATAGGGACTTCATGAAATCTATAAGTCACATTTACCTCCACTGGAATATTACTGTCGGCTGAAACCACTAACTGAACATACAGCCATCGTTACAGCGATTGGTTGCTGCTCGATTTTCTCAAAGAAGCCATGCCCCCAGCCGCACTGCCCGCAGACTCTGCCTCCAATATCCCTGGACCACCCTCTCCTCCTTCAACAATCAATCTTCAGGACCTTATTAAGTTATTTTCAGCATCCATGGCTGATCTATGCATCCTAGGAGCTTGCATGCGAGGCAATACAGAGGGAGAGCGACTTAAAGACGGAAATCAAAACACCTTGCCAACTCTTCATGTATATACAGAAACTCTGGCAGCTGGCCCCGAAGCGGAGTCCAACCCTACTCCTGCCCCTCCCTATTCAGGACTGACATGGTCGCAAACCACCCAACTACTACCTCTGGGAAACCTCCATCACCCCCAAATACCCTCTGACCATATTCCACAGCATGCTGTGAACGCTTCCAAAGACCATCACACATTTTTGAAGTACCTGTTTACCATTTTTCCCTACCCTCCATCACCCAATTCATTTCTAATCTCCACACTGCAAATATCCAAGTCAGTTCTACTAATATCTACTCTCTGGTGCCCTGGGATGACTGAAACTTCCAACCCCCACAAGCCTTAACGCAGACGACGCTAATCATCTCATAACATGAGGTAAAGGATAAGGTCGTCGAAGATAAAGGTCGTCCTCCGCCTTCAGATTTTCCACAAACCCCCTTTCCAGCCATTCATCTAGAATCTGAGCATTGTCTCTGCAGCCCACTGGGCTTTCCCAGCAATCCAGTATCATGGCATCAGCCTCAGCCATTACTACATCAACACTGTCCAAACACCCTCACCAGCCACCACTCAACCATTGGTAGCCAAATGAATAAGCACGCCTAATGCAGAGCAATACCCACGCTCCTCCCTCCCTGTACCCCTAGCACGGACTCGACTCCTCTTCTCCCCTCAGCAAAGCACCACTTTGACCTGCTCCTCGCTCCAAAGCGAACAAACTCTGCTTACTCTCCCCTTTTCTTTTCTTTTAGCTTTCATCCCTGCATGCACTACCCTGTGTCGCTAACTCCTGCAGGAGTGACACCCCAAGTGCCGACTCCCGCAGGAGCCATGCCCACTCCAGCCACCCCTTCACCTTTTACTCCCACTGCAAAGTCACCACCACTCTCTCTTTCCCTCCTCTCACAGGATCCTGGCTCCCGCAGCTCTGAGTCCAGCAGGAGTTACCTTAAGCTTCGACTCCCACAGCAGTCAATCACTGCCCAATAGCTTAACCTTTCTTTCTTCCAGCGTCGAGTGCTCCGCTCTCTTCCAGCGTTGAGTCTCTCCGCCCCTACCCTTCCTTCCAGTGTCGAGTGCTTCGCTCCCTCCGAGCGTTCGAGTCTCTTCACCCCCCCTTTTCTGTCCCAGCGTCGAGTGCTCCGCTGCTTCTTAAGCGGCGAGTCTCTCTGCCCCACTTTTATGTCTCCCGGTGGCGGAGGTTCCACGCTTGCCAAGCACCGAGTTCCTCCACCGCCCCCCTCTTTTCCCTTTCAGCGTTTAACTCTTTGCTACCCTCGTCTTCCTTCTAGCGCAAATCTTGCTTCTCTATATTCCTTTCGCATAGGCCCTACCCACCTGCTCGGTAATCCCCCGAGCAGGAGCCCCAAAACCTCCCTGCAGGAGTCCCCACCGCCCATCCCCTTTCCCAACTCCTGGAGGAACTTGGCCCAGCAGCTCTGATCCCGAGCTTCGACTCCCGCGGAGTCTGTCACCCCCCCCCCCCCCCCCCCCCCCACCCACTAGATAATTTTCTGTCTTCTAGCACCGAGCGATCTGCTGTCTTCCAGCATCGAGTCTCTCTGCCCATACCCTTCTTTCTGGTGTCGAGCGCTCTGCGCCCTCCGAGCGTCGGAGTCTCTACCCCCCCCTTCTCTGTCCCAGCGTCGAGTGCCCTGCTTACTTTTAGCGGGAGTCTCTCCGCCCCACTTTATGCCTGTCTCTCAGTGTTGAGTGCTTGCTCTCTCCAGTGCAGAGCCTCTCCACCTCCCTTTGATTTTCTTTTCCTTTTCAGCACCAAGTCTCTCCGCTACCTCCGCTTCCTTCTAGCACACCTGGCTCCTCTATGTTCCTTCCGCATAGGCCCTCACTCACCAGCTCTGACTCCCGCTGGAGTTACCCCGGAGCACGATTCTGGCCACGGCCCCTCCCCGCAGGAGTCACTATTGCCCCCTCCCGCTCCCAACTCCAGCGGGGACAAAAAACTGGCCCAGCAGCTCTGACCCCGAGCTTCGACTCCCACGGAGTCTGTCACCACCCACCCCCGCCCCTTAGAATTTTTTCATCGAGTGCTCCGCTACCTTCTAGCGCCGAGTCTCTCCACCTTTTCCCTTCCTTCCGGTGTTGAGTGCTCCGCTCCCCGAGAGCGCTCGAGTCTCTCCACCTCCTTTCTGTCCCAGCGTCGAGTACTCCGCTCCTTCTTAGCGTCGAGTTTCTCCGCCCCACTTTTTTCTCTACCCTGCGGCGTCGAGGGCTCCGCTTCCTCCAAGCACTGAAGTCTCTCCGCCCCCACTCCTTTTCTTATTCTTTTCAGTGACGAATACCGCCACTACCCCCTCTAGCTCTTCCCCTCTATCTTCCTTCTGCTTTGGCCATCACTCCCAGCTATGACTCCTCAGAGTCTTCCAAGCTTCCCTGCCCAGACTCCTACGGAGTCTATGCTTACCCACGCTCCCGCAGGAGCCCCTCTCTTTCTCCTACTCTTCCCTAACTGTATATCCAGCAGCCGGATATAGCATTGGTATCAGCGGCTCTGGGGGGGTTCTTCAATATGCGGCTGCTGTCCCGAGCATAAAGCACTTTGGGGGGTTCTCGAGATCTACTCGCCCTGCAACGGGAGGGAGCCCAGGCTCTCATGAGCTCTGGGCTCTCTACCGGGACAGCATGCCAAACTAGCTTATTACCAATCATCAGCTAAGTGTGAACTCTTGAAAACGGCACTGGTCTTAAAAAGTAAGCCAAAAACAAAACAGCCAATGCTGATCACATCGATGTTCGCATCAAAGGATTAAAAGTGTTAATTGTTTATTTCAATATTTGGCTATTCCTCCGCGTACCACTACCACAGTTTGAGAACCACTGCTTTAGAACATTTTCAGTCTGATCAATTCACATTTGCTAGTGAATGTGGTGAGTTATGATAAACACTGTTTACCTCAGCTCACGCATCAAGTTTACATTAAGCTACAAGACCCATGAAAAGAACAAGTGTCGTGTACATACCAAACATAAACCGGCTGGTGAATCAATTTTGTTTTTCGCAGCAATGGAGAGCCAGCCTGCAATAATGTACTGAGAACAGAGAGAAGAGCAAAACTTGGATGTTGGAAATTATATATACACAGATATACATGTTACTATGATGAGCATTTTACTGCCACAGAAACCACCCCTCCCTCAACTGCTCAATACATTTGCATTCTTCTTAGTAATACACTAGACTAGAGGTCTGCAAATTTCCGAATAAAATGCTGTAGCAGTCTGTAACTCTGGTGAAATTCAAATAGGAGCGTGCAGTCTAATAATTCAGCATTTTGAATCCCAACAATATTTCGAAAAAGTAATCACTCATGGCAATTCGTAACTTTTTGATTTAGTGGCTAATTCTTATGAATTCGTACGATGCAATTTGTGCAATTTCGTACGATTTGCTCATCACCCATTGACGATTGGGGTTAGGAGTGAGGTTGGGTGCCAAGCCCTTTTTTTAAAAATTGTACATTTTCGAACGACTGAACTCGTATTCGTACGAATTAGCCAGTGAACTGACAAAACGTAAAATACTTACGTTTCCTCATGAGATCAGGCTGGAACAGCAAATCTGGGAGTTTCTTATTCTTATTAAGCGCCGGCTGTTATTCAGCGCCGGTACAGCCAGTGCTCAGGACCAGGGCCTGAGCACAGGTCCATAGAGGCAACCTAGGTGGCCGCCTAGGGCGGCAGAATAGAGAGGGCGACACTACCCTCACCACCCACACCCTCGGTTATATCCGAGTCTAGGACGGCAGAATAGAAAGGGCGGCGTCCGCAACACTACCCTCACCACCCACACCCTCAGGTATATCCGAGTCTAGGACAGCAGAATAGAGAGGGCGGCGTCTGCAACACTACTCTTACCACCCGAGCCCTCAGTTATATCCATGTCTAGGACGGCAGAATAGAGAGGGCGGCGTCCGCAACACTACCCTTACCACCCGTGCCCTCAGTTATATCCATGTCTAGGACAGCATAATAGAGAGGGCGGCGTCCGCAACACTACCCTTACCACCCGCGCCCTCAGTTATATCCGAGTCTAGGATGGCAGAATAGAGAGGGTGGCGTCCGCAACAGTACCCTCACCACCCGCACCCTCAGTTATATCCGTGTCTAGGACAGCAGAATAGAGAGGGCAGCGTCTGCAACACTACTCTTACCACCCGCGCCCTCAGTTATATCCGTGTCTATGACGGCAGAATAGAGAGTGTGTCGTCCGCAACACTACCCTTACCACCCGCGCCCTCAGTTATATCCGAGTCTAGGACGGCAGAATAGAGAGGGCGGCGTCCGCAACACTACCCTTACCACCCGCGCCCTCAGTTATATCCGAGTCTAGGACGGCAGAATAGAGAGGGCGGCGTCCGCAACACTACCCTTACCACCCGCGCCCTCAGTTATATCCGTGTCTAGTACAGCAAAATAGAGAGGGCGCCGTCCGCAACCCTACCCTCACCACCCGCACCCTCAGTTATATACGTGTCTAGGACGGCAGAATAGAGAGGGCGGCGTCCGCAACACTACCCTTACCACCCGCGCCCTCAGTTATATCCGAGTCTAGGACGGCAGAATAGAGAGGGCGGCGTCCGCAACACTACCCTTACCACCCGCGCCCTCAGTTATATCCGAGTCTAGGACGGCAGAATAAAAAGGGTGGCATCCGCAACAGTACCCTCACCACCCGTGCCCTCAGTTATATCCGAGTCTAGGACGGCAGAATAGAGAGGGCGGCGTCCGCAACACTACCCTTACCACCCGCGCCCTCAGTTATATCCGAGTCTAGCACGGCAGAATAGAGAGGGCGGTGTCCGCAACAGTACCCTCACCACCCGCGCCCTCAGTTATATCCGAGTCTAGGACGGCAGAATAGAGAGGGTGGCGTCCGCAACACTACCCTTACCACCCGCGCCCTCAGTTATATTCCCATCTAGTGTGGCAGAATAGAGATGGTGGCGTCCGCAACAGTACCCTCACCACCCGCGCCCTCAGTTATATCCGAGTCTAGGACAGCAGAATAGAGAGGGCGGCGTCCGCAACACTACCCTTACCACCCGCGCCCTCAGTTATATTCCCATCTAGTGTGGTAGAATAGAGAGGGTGGTGTCCGCGACAGCTCTCCCCCCACTTTCACTTTAGGGTTGAGGGCGACACGACACTCCTTTGCCTAGAGCGGCAGTGCAGCTTGCTCCGGCCCTGCTCAGGAATGTTACACATGCTGAACGCAGTGCTTTCTGCACATGCATCTTATTTGCACAGTATGTGCGTGCATCATTTGCATAATGTTCCTCAGAGCCGGCTTCACCATGGCAGAGCAAACTGAAGACATGCTGTCCTTGAAGGACATTGAGAAATGTTTAAGCGACCGGCTTCAGAAGACTCAGGTTTAAGAAGGCACTCATGTCTCATCACAAAGGGGCAAACAAAATTGACATTAAACCTAAAATCTTTGCACAACCTACAGTTTTATGTTATCTCTCTCTTTAGGTAGTACCCAATTAAACGTGAGATTTCAGAAAACAGGTCTAAATCAGTTGGGTCAAGTACAAAATTATTTTAAGCAGGCAGCGGGTAAACAAAGACTGTTAATATAGACATTTAAAATTCAGAAAAGGAACAAAAACATCATTAAATGTCACTTCAGGGGTTCAACTGTAATCAGATGAAGCTCCAGGAACACTTTTGTGTGCCAAAATAATGTAAAAGCATCTCTGTTCACCAATGTCTTCTATATTAGATCAGGGAGTCTGTTTGTGTGTTGCAGTGCTGCCTCTAGTGGCAATACAAGATACTTAATAAACATGTGCACAAAGCATTTACATGTTCTTTTAGGGTGCTTTCACACCTGCCTTATTTAGTTGAGTTGAATCGCACTAGAGTTCATTTTCCTCTTGGTGCGGCTAGTTTGGGCAGGTGTGAATGCAGCAATCGTACTCAAGTTCGAATCAAAAGCGGACCAAAAATCGTACCGAGACCTGCTTAAAGAGGTGGTCTCGGTACGCCTTCAAACGAACCCTGGAGCGGTTCGTTTGTGGTGAGAATATTATCCATACTAAAACAGGTCCAACCGCAAAAAGTACTGTGCCTTTTGGACTAATCCAGCTGCTGAAGGGCGATGTGCTGTGCATTATGGGATATGAAGGAAAACATTTGTTGACAGCGCTTTACCAACAGAGAGAGAGAGAGAGGGGAAAACATTACCTGATAGATCGTTGGTAATATTTCAACAAGATGACCACGTCGCAGTTTAGCTAAATTGACTAACGCCTCCTCCTGAAGTGACGAGCGATGCATTAAAACATTGCTTTCCAGCTGCATCCATGCTTTATTCTCAAAATGTATAGTTTGTCTAAAGCAGGGATACAATCAGTCAGCGCAGTCGTCCCTCTATAGTAAAAAGCGACATTTTGTGTCTGCCGGTTTGTTTACTTGCAGGAGTTCTTTGGCGTTTTCCTGCACGTACATTCTGACCAATCAATAAGCAGTTTAGGTACTATGTTCAACAACATCTGGCCAATGAGTAACGTGGATTTTGTCACATGACTGCATTTTGGTCCTTTTCAACTGGTTCGGACCAAAGCCAACAGTGTGGTGTGAAAACGACCCAAAGATGGCAGAAAATGCAATAATGTATCATTTATTGCCCTTGGTCCGGACCAAATGAAGCGAACTAGAGATGTGAAAGCACTCTTAGGGTCTGTAAATGTGACAGTAAGAGATATTCTGGTTGATTACCCACTGTAGCTTGTGTTATCTATAGATAAGGACATGTTAAACTGTATTATTGTTTCTTACAATCAGAGATCCCCAGTAAGAAGCACCAGTGTGGAAGAAGACATAATATCCATAATGTATAGACGCGATTCCCAACAGGAAGGTCAACACACCGACCATTATCTGGACAGTCTGTGAGGAATAAGAGTAAACAGTGTAAGAGTGATGAGAGTATTTCATGAAGTAAAGCAGAATAACATGCTGTGTGTTAATGTGTGCTATACTAACATCAAAAATAATTGTCTGGGTTTATTTCTCACCCCGAGGGCTTTTGGTTGGCCTTTAAGAAAGGCCTGAATTCCTTGAAGAGGTGAAACTCCTGCTACATGCTGTATGCGCACAGGCACAGAAGAACTGGTCACAGTTGCTGTTTGTGTCAGTGGCTGAAGCTGGATGACAATCGTTGAAGGATTCATGGCTCTGACAGTCGACATTTCAGTTTCAGAGTATAAAATCAACCTGTACAAAATCAGCAAAACAGGATGCCATTATCAGTACAATATAGACACCGGTACACCTTTTGTCTTCAGTTTATCTCTGACAGAATGTGTCTTTACGTCTGAAAACATAGTACTAAGTACTAGTACTAAGTTTGGTGAACTTAACAATTTAAGTATAGTCTACAAAACCGGCAAGTTAAATAAACTTAAATATGCAAGTTTTGGGAAACTCCATTACTCAATTACATTAAGGCAACGAGTTTACTCAATTAATTTAGTTCAGTCAGCTTATTAGGGTTTTCAGTGTAGGTTGTGACGTTGTCATAATAAATCTGTTTTTTGAGAGCTAAAGTGGCAGTGTGCTTTTTTTTTCTTAGATGGAAAATATGTTGCATTGAAGAATATAGTATCCAAAATAAAGTTAAGAAACCCCCAATATATTTGAAACTTTTTGAAAACAAAAAAATGATTAGCTGTTGGATGATGGTCTTTACCCTAAGATAAGTATAAAAAACTGGTCACTGATTCAGAGTAAAAAACACAGAGTGTGTTGAAATCTGTTGATCTACTTTTGCGTTGATTTAATGACTTGCAGATAATTGAGGAACACAACTTCATAATGATGGTATCCAAAATGGTATAAAATCTTATTCAGACAGCATACCAATACATTTTCCAAACATTCAGTTATCTGGACAATAAGGAGGTCCTTAGGCTGAGCTTAAAACGCAAGGTTACCCAACTAGGACTTCACAATACAAACATTGACAGTAGCTCCAAAGGAACCATGCTCTCTACCACAACTGAATCTCTTCTTCATTCACCCACTCACTTATTATACATTTCAGGTGTCTAACCAGCGCCCTCTAGTGCCCTGTAGTTCCATTAGAACAGCATCTTTATTTCCATTATTCCATAAATAAAAAAACAAGCGACTGACATTTCATTCTGTTACAATGTGTATATATATATATATATTTATATATATATATATATATATATATATATATATATATATATATATATATATATATATATTATTTATTTATTTTTTTTTTTCAAAATTTTTAAAAAGATTTTTTAATAGTATATTATTACACACATGCATGCAAGCACACACACACACATATATATATATATATATATATATATATATATATACATGTGTGTGCTTGCGTGCGTGTGTGTAATAATATACTATTAAAAAATCTTTTTAAAAATTTTGAACAAAAATAAGCAGCCATTTATTCACATTATGATGAACAATTATACCTGAAGCCATTTGTTTTTTTGATAAAAAAAAAGACCTTGCACTTAAAAGGTTGCACATATCAGAATTTTACAGTCAAGACTAAATTTCTGAAAATGACCTATTTTTTTTTTCAAAGTATTAATCATGATTTTGAGCTCACTACACTTGAAATCTTAAGTTTATGCATTTCCATGGTAGATAAGTAAAATTAACTCATATTTTTAAGTGATAGGACCAAAATGCTAAATTTTAAGGTTTGTTCAGTCAACTTTACTTAATTGTTTAAGTAAAGACAACATTAGGGTTTTCACTTTATCCGACTTAACACCACGTATGAAAGTGGCACAAATCAGAATTAAAAAGATCAGACGCCATGTGGTTTGGGCTGTTCAAACTGCCTTAACCAAAACAGATCTGAGTCACATGTGGGCAAAAACATCAGATTCAGACCACATTGACCTGCAGTGTGAACATAGTCTAAAGTCACTGTGTTAAACTGTAGAGTTGAATTTTCAACATCAAAAGTGGTCAGAGCAGAGATCAACATCCCATAATGCAATTCACCACCAGAAATCAACAAAACACACAAAATACAGAAACTTTTTTAATGAACAGAGGTGTAATGATCACGAGTGTTTAATCAATGGAAAAATCACAGCTCAAGTTTAAAATGATCAACATCACCTACATTTTAAAAGCCATTCAAGGTCCACTTGTTACCAAATAAAGGAAACACATCCATTATTATTACTTTAGAAAACACAGATATAATAAGTATTTTAGTATGTAACGTACTGTCTTACCTGAAGCAGAATCCCGTCTTCAACTGTGCTTTGACTTTCTCTTCTGCTGTAACTTTACACCAGCGCAGTGATTCCCAGAAAGAGACAGGAAGCAGGAGGAGTTTTCTGCAGAATGGCCGCAGGTAAAGAGCCTCTCCCTCAAGCTCTCGGTTTGTTTTTTTTCCATCTATATATTTGCTCTTTATTGGGTTCCTAACATAACGTGCCTGATATGAGCCTTGGATAGCATTGTATAATTGATAGGACTTATCTGTGAGGACCCAGACCTCTGTATATCGAATTATGCCTTTGTATATAATAAATTACTAATACTTTCACATGAGAAAAAATTCTCTCTCAACTTTTTATTAAACACACATGGAATCTCAGTGATATATATGTACTCCCTGTACACACATGACTGTACAGCCAAACACAGCTCCAACGTCATCATTAAATTTGCTTATGACACAATGGTGTTGGGCCTAATCACCGATAATGATGAGATGGCCTACGGAGGGGAGGTGCACACTCTGACGCAGTGGTGTGAGGAAAACCACCTCTCCCTTAACATCAGCAAAACCAAGGAGCTGGTGGTGGACTTCAGGAGAGAGAAGAGAGAACACACCCCCATCACCATCAATGGGACGCCAGTGGAGAGAGTCAGCACTTTTAAGTTTCTTGGAGTCCACATCGCTGAGGACTTGACATGGACTGCTCATACAGACACAGTGCTGAGGAAGGCACAACAACCCCTCTTCTTCCTCAGAAGGTTTGGAATGAGCCCTCACATCCTCCACTCGTTCTACACCTGCACTGTGGAGAGCATCCTGCCTGGCTGCATCACCACCTGGTATGGAAACAGCACCAGCAGCAATCGCAAAGGCCTACATAGGATTGTGCGAACTGCTGGACGCGTAGTAGGAGGTGAGCTTCCCTCCCTCCAGGACATCTACACCAGGCGGTGCATGAGGAAAGCCAAGAGAATTATCAGTGACTTCAGCCACCCAAGCCATAGACTTTTCTCTCTGCTACCCTCAGGCAGACGGTTCCGCAGCATCCAATCACGCACCAGCCGACTGAAGGAAAGCTTCTTCCCTCAGACTATCAGGCTGATGAACACTTAACACATCCACACAGACTCTTCCATACCCTCACTGCACACCATCAATATATAGCATGCACTGCACTTTAACCAATCCATACTTAAAACAATACCTACAATGCCTACAACAACTATATGGACTGTGTGGAATGTGCACTGTCTGTATTTGCACTGTCGCTGTATTTGCACTATTTTGTACTGTCTGGAGCAGCACCTAAGCTTTTGACTCACCATAGTACACGTGCTGCTGATGATGTGACAATAAAAGTGATTTGATTTGATTTGGCACACACACACACATATATATGTGTATACCCTCACAGATCTCCATTTTCTTTCTGAGAATGTCCAGATGATCGCACCCACAGACCTGATAGTATGGCCTTTTCTTTTTCCTAATCATACAAATCATTTTTTAACACCCAAATTCTTCCAAAATCAAAAATTTCCGTAACTGAAGATTGCCATAATGTCAGTAATGACCCTGTCTGGGTCCAGCGGTCGGCCACTCATCCCTCAATCTAGTAAGGCAGGAGTGGTTCCTAACTTAGCTCCTGAAGATTTTAGCTCCAACTTGTCTCAACACACCTGCATGGATGTTTCTAGAAAGCCTAGTAAGACTCGTTGCTAGCCTGATAGTGTTTGATTGGAACTAAACTTTGCCTCACATAGGAACTCCAGGACCGAGTTTGGGCACCCCTGTATTAAGGTTAGTAAGGGTTGTGATTTTCATTCAGCTTTTTAGGATATTTTAAGGATATAAAGCAGTGATTCTCAAAGTGTGGTATATGTACTGCTAGTGGTACACAGGCTTCTTCTAGTGGTATGCAGAGGAATCATAGAATTAAAAAAGAATGTTAAAAACACATTTAACCCTTTGCGTCCTACAATCACACCGGTGTGATCACAGGCTAAACCCAAATCTGCTTCCCTGCAGTTACTTGCATTGAGTCAGAGAAAGACACAGGCAGTGCTAGTCATAAAACAAATCCAATTTATCAGTATACAAACATATGCCATTTAAAAAAATACACATAGGTAATAGCAAAACACACAAAAATACACATGTAGATGTAAAATACACAGTGATATCTATGGTGACGACTATAATAATCATTTTACACATCATCTGATGATGTGCATTATTCAGATCAGATACACAAGGAAACTAGAATCGCCACAGCATCAAAGCAGTAGATCCACCGCTCTGCCCCGGTTTTTCATGTTGATTCACATTTATTCGCCTTCAGTGTACGCTGGGGGAGATTCTGCAGGAGGATGTTGAAAGCATGGTTCGGGGATTTCTTGAGGACATTGAATGTACTGTTGGGGGATTTCTGCAGGAGGGTGTTGAATTAAAGGGCTGCTGTCCACAGAAATCTGCAGGATAAAATGTACATGGTCAGCTTAAGTTATTGGTTGTGGTTTAACATGGTAAGTCATCATATTTAAATAAAAGTCTGCAGCAACTACTGGTTCACATGGACTTTAAGGGTATGGACATTTAAGAGTGAAGAATTACAGACAGATATTGGGTTTGTTGGTTCTTGTGAAACCTCAAGCTTTAAAAGTAGCTTTATCCTTTATGCCTAAATTTATCTAATGGGGTCAGCTGATGTATTTCTCACCTGAGGAAAAAAGCAGCAGGTGGCTTTACAGGCAAACGCAGATAGGCAGATGGAGATGAAGAACTCAAGGATGGCGAACACCAGCAACACACCACTGATTCCTGAGAGGCGAGTCTGAGAGAACATTCAACATGAGCATACAGGACAACAACAACAAAGAGTCAGTAATCAGTAGTCCTTTAGGTATACTGATGAAACTGAACAGAGTTTAAAAGTGCTGTTTAAAGATTCCATAGGGTGAAAATCTGGCATACCCAAGTATACATTTTCAGTATGGAAATGGCAAACCTTGAGCTTCAACACCCTCTAAATGTGTATATTGTGAAATCTGACATGTGCATTTGTAATGAGGTAACAAACAAACATAAAGTGCTGTTGAATGCATGTTTATGCATGGTGTCATATCACTCCTGTTACTGTGAATTTCTGAGAAAGGTAACCAATAAACTTCAGAAATTCCTCTGTTTAAACAGAGATTGATATTATTTCAGCCACAACACTTAATAGATAGCTCTGCTCCACATCCGTTGAAACAATTGTCTTCTGACAAGAAGTCTTATCTAGTTTTTTTTGACAACTGAAGTAATGTCAAAGTACATTATGCTGTGTGAGCTTCAGAGAAATGAGCTGAGAGCAGAGCTCATTAATATTCATGACTCCTCCAAATCAATTAAATCAGACTTTTCCATTCAAGGGCCAAATTCTTTGGTTATAAATTGACCTATAAAAATATTTATTTTGCACATACCTAAGCCACATACCTTGTAGATATCAGAGAACAATTTAAACAGTGTATCAGTGCATTCTGTGGCACCTTTATGTCAATATTTGTATCCAGTGTAAATGAACAGTAATATCTTGTCAAGTTCTGGACAGCATTGGACAGATGAGTGCAGATTACGCTTGATTTTCACAAGTGCACCGGTCACACAGTGATCTTACTGTAATTATAAAATAAAACACTAATACTAAAATGATATCAATATAAAATCTGATGACATACCCTGTAACCATAGCAAGAATAAGGGTATCTGCAGGAAGGGTCAGTGAATCCAAAAGCCAAATCCAATGAAAGTATAATAATGGAAATGCCCGCAGCTATAGCACTGAAAATGTTCATCCCGAGGGAAGCTCTCACCTACAGTAGAGACACAAAAATATAAATGTTTTGTATCATGTTGTGTTAACACTTTGTGGTTAAGCAGATGGTAGATTATATGGAAAGTGATCAAAATGAATTGACTAATAAATAAAATATAGGGTCCAAGTACAAAAGATTCATGTGTATGATTAAGTGACTACATAGAAAGAGTCTAGACCAGTGGTTCTCGAACTTTTTTCACCAAGTACCACCTTAGAAAAAAATTGTCTCTCCAAGTACCACCATAATGACCAGTATTAAAATATAGCGTCGTAGGCCTAATTAACCAGCTATAGCTGTGCACAGTTTAAAAACGAGGCAGATTAATTCCTATTATTAAGAATATGTATTATTGTCAGTCACTTTAAACATTTTAAATAGTCTAAACATTAAATTAAATTAAAGTGTGCTTTTAAAAGTTCATTTAATATGGCAATGTTCTTAAAAAGTAAAAAGAAAACTGCTGTATTTAAATCTAAAGTATTCATAGTAGCCTGTTCATCAAAAGCTGGAAATGTTGACTGGACCTCATAAATATAGGCTATGTGTCATATTCATACACTTTCTGACAAATCTTAAAATATATGTTAAATGTATGGACACATGACAGAGTTCATACAGGCAAAATCAAGCACTTTAAAGCACTTTTTCCAGCACCTATTTTTTTTTTTTTCAAGACTGACATGCTATGTATTGAAGACCTGAAATGTATTCTCAGCAACTTAAAAATCATTGCATGGGAATTGATACAAATAAAACCATTAATAATAATAATAATAATAATAATATTTATTAATCATATATTAATAATATAATAAACCTGCACTAAATGTTTGTGAAATGTTTTTTGGAATCAAGTAAAAATACTATTGCACTGCTAAAATAACACAAATTTGAGTAAATAATACTAATATTAGGTAAAAGTACAAAGTACTCTTTTATAAAGTAGTATAGTTAGTTACTTTTGAAAAAAAACCCATCAGATTTTCATTATGAAATCACTTTTTTTTAAGTGTAAACCTGATTGAATGGTTTAATTGCTTGAATCCCAAAGCTACATGTATAGGAATTTGCACTATACAAAGGAAGTGTGGTTGATTTTTCCTTTCATGACAATGAATCTTTTTCAATAGCACTGGTAAAACCACCACATAATCTTTGAGGCCATAGAGACAATTTTTACCCATTTTAAACGATATTTTCAAGCTTTGAAAGGTTTAATTAAAGTATATGATGAAAAGATTCCATCTGAGCACGCAGGCGATCATGAGAGCACTTGCAGTTCATTTGAA